GGGTGGGGGGTGGTCCTGTGGTGACCTTCGACTGCGGGGTGGGAGGTGGTCCTGGGGTGACCTCCGACTGCGGGGTGGGGGTTGGTAGGAGTCAGACCAGGCCCGCCCAGGGCTCCTGCCATCTTTGCTCGGCTCAGACCGGAGGAGTGCGGGTCTGTGCTGTTCTCCCCTCACCGCCATCTCACTTACTAGGTGTGCGGAGCTGCTCCTGAGGTTTGGGGCAAAAGCAGACGGTCGGTCCGAGGAGGAAGAGGAGACCCCTTTACATGTGGCTGCCCGGCTCGGCCATGTCGAGCTGGCGGAGCTGCTTCTCAGGCGGGGGGCTTGCCCCAACGCCCGTGATGCTGAAGGCTGGACCCCACTGCTGGCCGCCTGTGACACCCGCTGCCAGTCCCCTGCTGACGCCGAGGCCACCACCGCCCGCTGCCTCCAGCTGTGTCGCTTGCTGCTCTCGGCTGGAGCAGACCCTGATGCCGCCGACGGGGACAAACGGCGGCCCCTACACCTGGCCTGTCGCCGTGGCCACGTGGCCGTGGTGGAGCTGCTCCTGTCCTGCGGTGTCAGCACCAATGCCATGGACTACGGGGGGCACACGGCCCTGCACTGTGCTCTGCAGGGCCCCGCTGCGACCCTGGCCCAGAGCCCGGAGCACACGGTGCGGGCCCTGCTCAACCACGGAGCTGTCCGCGTCTGGCCGGGGGCCCTCCCCAAGGTACGGAGGGTGAGGGGACAGGAGGCCCAGCTGTGCTGCGGCTTGCTTGGGGACAGGGCCTGGGACACGGGCTGCAGACATTGGCTACTTCCTTCTGACCGTCTCCACTCAAGTAAGCAAAGTCCGAATCGGGCAGAGGCAAGGCCACAACCAGCAGGATGTGTGTGCATGTATGTGCAGGCACATGCGTGTGCACACACATGATGTGACGCACATATGTGGCGTGTGGCGTGTGTGTCCATGTATGGGCAGTGTGCATGCGTACGCATGTGTGTGTGCATGCCTGTGTGACGACGGGGGGCCGAGGACAGCGGGACTGGATGGTAAAGGATGCAGGCAGGAGTGAAGACCGACAGGCAGCAGGGAGCTGTTTCAGAGCCTGCGTCAGGGCAGCGAGCCGATGTCGCCGCGTCTGGGGACTACGACAGCAGTGGAATCAGTGCCGTGAGAGGCTCCCCAAGAACATAGCCTGACCTGTGTCACGAGGTTTGAGTCCTCCTGAACATCTGCAGACAGACACTGTTCCCCTCTCTGGGAGCTTAGCAGTCCACACCCCCACCCGCCCCCAGCCTGGCAGCCGCTGTGCTGGCCCTGCCTTTGGTCGTCAATTTAAATGTGTGCCTTACTTCACATCCGCTTCCCCTAAGTGGCTCAACTTGAAGACCTGTGCTGCAGGCGCCCTGGCAGGTGGCCTTGCCCTGTGCTGTGTCATATGGGGAAGGGCCACTGTTACTTCACGGAAGCCACTGGCCTGCGGGGGGACACCCATTCTTGCAGGACTGAATGGCCTTCCAGGAGTGCCTCCCAGCCCTGCCCTGTCCTGGGCCCACCCCGCCTGTCCCCACCTCTCCCCTTTGCTAACAAACCTAGAAGCATCTGTCTGGATTCCTAAGCAAGACCAAATAATTAAACAGCCCGAGAGTTCGGCAGATTGGTCTCCCCTTTGGGAAAATACAAGAAAATCAACAATTAACACTAATTAATCTCCTATTAACACCAGATAATTAGGAGACGAGCAATTCCCTGTAATCTGACGGCGGCTCTGACAGCTAATGATTTCCCCGCTGGGTGGGGATGGGAGGAGGAAGAGGCCAGCAAACAGATTTCCTGGGACCTGCAGCCGCCCTGTCTCCTGCTCCGCCCCTTGGCCTGTCTCTGGGCCAAGGGGGCTGGCAGAGCTAAGCGCCCATCCATCTCTTTCCCACGATCTGTAGCCTCTTGAGCCTTGGCTGGGGTTCCCGTCGTCTAGGGGGGCTTCACCACCATCTGGGGTGAAACGCCAGCCCCAGCCCCCTAGGAGTGACAAGCCGGGATCCAGCGTCTGCCTTTGATTTTGTCCACATGGGCGAGTTCCGCTCTGGGCTCTCCGCTTCCTACGTGTGGAAGAGCCTCTCCCGGGCGGCTGGAGCTGTAGGCACACACTGGGGACAAGTCGGCCCCAGCACAGTCCGAAAGTCTTCTGAGATGTGTTACCCGTCACCTGGGCTCCCTCCGTCCTCCCAGCGACCTCTGAGGCTGCAAGAAAGAGCAGAGCCAGGCCACTCCCTGTGCCACCGTCCACGAGTTGCTTAATCCCACTGAGCCTCCGTTTCCGCATCTGTGAAACAAGCCTAGCAGGGCTTTGTCAGAGGAGGGGTATTTCTCATGCATAGTCTTCAGGAAGTTCATGGAAATGTGTTCAAGTTTTGAACTCAAAAAATATTTTCATACTTTATATTTTTCCAAAAACTTTGTGAAGTCCTCTCGTATAAATCCTCTGGATAGGACCCCACTAATAGTTAACAATCAATGCTTGTTCTGACTAGCATTGTTTCAAAGTCCGATGATGGAGGAGACAAAACCTGGTAAGCCGCGAGGCATCACCTCAGTACCTTTGGGCACAGGAGAGAGTGCAGTCACTGCAGGGGCTTCCTGGAGGAGGTGGGACTCAGGAGGAGAGCTCTTACACAGAGGGAGGAGGAAGGAGCAGGCAGAGTGCAGAGGTGGGATCCACACGGCCGGGGACAGAGACAGGAAAGTCAGCGTGGACCAGTGGGTGCTTTGCTAGCTCCATGGAGGAGCGGGTGGAGAGGCCCTCTGTGGACAGCCGGGGCTGGGCGAGCCGTGGGAAGCAGGCTGAGGGCCTGGCTGTGTGAAATGCTTCCTCAAGGGACCCCTGCTCTGGCCAGGCCTGGCCTTCCAGTTGCTCCTACCCATAAGCGGCATTCCCAGTCTGCGCTACAGGAGGAGGGTCTCCTTGCCCCTGTGGGCAGGGGCAGACACTGTAGTTGTGGTGTGAGGGGTGTGTGGGAACGCTGTGTGGGAACCGTGAGAGAGGGCACTTTGTTTTCAGATCTTGCAAAGGCTCCACGACCACTTCCTGTTGGAGGTCCGGGAAGAGTGGAGTGAGTGAGGAATGACTGTTTGTGACCACGAGGTGTGCCTCGTGGCCCCTGTGTGAGCTCGTGGCTGCCTTTCTGACCACGTGGCAGGTGTCTCCCTTGGCTGCGTGACTCGCCAGTCATTGTATCAGGCCACCACCTCAGAGCCCTTTGTGCCTACCGGCTAGACCAGTGCCCCCCAACACCCCCCAAGCCAGGCTCAGCCCCAGCCTCTGTTTGTTATTTCTGCAGCAGGGCTCTGAGTGTGTTCGTAGTTTCCCTCCGATGCTGAGGACCTTGTCTATCCTCCTCACTGCTCGGCCCGGAGAAGGCCCTCAGTAAAAATTTTCCAAACGAAGAAATAAAAGGATCTGCCTCCAACTTGATCCCTTTCAAGTTCGAAATTCAGGTGTTGACAAGATTGGTTCCTTCTGACTCTGAGAGAGAGTCCATTCCAGACCTTTCTTCTAGCTTCTGGTGGTGGCCCGCAAACCGGGGTGGTTTTTGGTGTGTAGACGTGTCACTCCAATGTCTGCCATTGTCACACGGCTGTTTACTCTTCTTAAAAGGACACCAGTCCCATTGGGCTGGGGACCACCCGAATGGCCCTGTTTTAACTCACATCTGCAAAGACCCTGTTTCCCAGAGATCACACTCACAGGGACCAGGGATTAATACTTCACATGTCTTTTGGGGGACAAGATCCAACCACGACAGCTGTTCTAGAGCGGGTTGGCCCCCTGCGTGGACTGACTGGGGGCCCGTCTTTGCGGTCTCCAGGTGCTGGAGCGCTGGTGCACGTGCCCTCGGACCATCGAGGTCCTAATGAACACCTACACTGTCGTGCAGCTGCCTGAGGAGGCCGTCGGCCTGATCCCTCCTGAAACTCTGCAGGTCAGATTCCAGGACCCCAAACGTGTGACCGCTTGGCTGGCCCCCAAGAGGCTCCCACTCCCTAGAGGGCGCCCCACCAGTCCCCACAGAAATTAGCGAGAACCACTCGTGTCCCACAGAGGAACACCCAAAGCATCTATTGCTTCTGTGAAGTTCCCGTAGACCTCCCACCCCACGTGCCCCATGAGGAGGAGCAGGTGCCGCCTGCCCAGGGCTGCCCTCCTGACCTCTCGTTCTGCCCCCAGAAGCACCAGCGTTTCTACTCCTCCCTCTTTGCCCTGGTGAGGCAGCCCCGGTCGCTGCAGCATCTGAGTCGCTGTGCTCTGCGTGCTCACCTGGAGGGCTACCTGCCTCACGCCCTGCCCCGCCTGCCCCTGCCGCCCCGCCTGCTCCGCTACCTGGAGCTGGATTTCGAGGACGTACTCTACTAGGTGAGCCCTGAGCTCCATGGCCAATCATGAGGTTTGGGTGGGGGACGGGTTCGAGGTAGGGCGGGCGGGGAGGCCTGGTCAGGATCGCCTGCTGCTGGGACCCCTGGACATCTCTGACCCATGCCTCTCTTTCCAGATAGCTACTGGCTGGGGACAGAGGCTCCAAGTGGATGCCCAAGCCGGCGGAGGACTCAGGCCAAGCAGGCAGATGTGGAGGCTGATCCCCACGAGACAGGACAGACCCTGGCCCATCTGATAGGCGAGAACTAAGACTGTGGCAAGCCCCGATGACGGGCAAACCGTGTATGCGCAGTAAAAGCCTCCGGACTGTTCCTCTGGGCTGGTTCTTGGCAGGAGTCAGGACTGGCAGGCATACAGAGGTCCCGTATCTGCCCCCCAGGGCCAGCTGCATCCCCTTCCCCCATTGCCATCTACCGGCTGTTGAAAGATCCCAGGGTGACTTGCCCCTTCAGCCACTGAGAGGATAGAAAGGCCACCAGATGAGACCAGTCAGAAAAGGCTTTTAATGGAACCAGCAGTTAGCGTAATGGCTATGTGCTGGACTCCCATGTAGTCGACCACGGTTCGCGTCTCGGACCTGGTGGTTTAAAACTCACGCGGGGTGTGTGTGCGTGCATGCCCAAGATACTGAGAGGAGAAGGGATTGTGGCATGGCCATCCCCCCTGGGGGGTGATTTCTCGCTTTCTGTCAAAAAAAAAAAAAGAATAGACAGGGTCTGGCAGGTGGCATGGTGTTTAAGGCACTGGACTCCCACTTGCTCAACAGTGGTTTGAGTCCTGGACCTGGCAGCTTGCTTTCTCACTTTCTCTGGTCAAATTAAAAGCAAACAAACAAATAAATAAATGAAATTATATATATAAATATATATATACATATATATAATATATACATATACATAAATTTTTTAAAAGGATGGGCCAAGGGGGAGGCTCGTCAATGGAGCTCCTGCACATGCAGAGTGCTGGAGCTGGGCAGGATGGCACAGGAAGCCTTGGGGGGGAGGCGAGGAGAGCGGAGCCAGCAGGCAGGAGAGCCTCGGAAGGTGGGGCACTTGGGTTGGCCAAGCATGGGGGATGGCGTTGGCTCTGGTGAGAGCAGAAGGCCCAGGTTTAGAAAAAGAATTATTTCCACCTGTCGCTTGACACCGTAAGCCAGAGAACACTGGAGCACACCTGCTACTGCCTCTTTTTATCCGCTCCTCCCGTGAATTTAGTCGTGTGAGACTTCTGTGGCCTGAGTTCTAGTCCTAACTCTGCCATTGCCTTGTTCTGAGAGTCATTGCAGTACTAGGATTTTGAAAACGTGCGCGGGGGAGGCCCAGCATCCAGGGAACGGCGGGCAACCGCGGGAACGAGTAGGAACTGTGTGTTAGCCAATCAAGCGCGCAGTGACCCGGTCCCCCGCCGCGCAGTGCGCACGCGCCGGCACTCGCGAATTCCCGCCAACAGCCCGGCGCCCGGCACGAGGGGCGGGGCTGGACGGCGCGAAGCTGGGAGGGCGTCGAGAGGATGCGGCGCAGAGGGGCGACGAGGGCACCCGGATTCACGCCCTGGCCTCCTGACCCGGGCCGACCGTTCCGTATGGGCCTCAGGGACCGCCTGTGAGAAGCCCCAGGCC